TTGGGAGCCTTTTCCCAAAGAGTACAGTGAGGACAGAGATTTCACTTGTGTTTTTCCTACCACCCTCTCCTACAGTATGGACCATGTTTGCTTCTAGAGTCATCTGGAAGCTCTTTAGAAGGTTACTTACTACAGCCCCTCTCCAGTAATGTCCCAGAGGAAAGGAGCTGCGGCTTCTTGTCTGTTACATGCAAAAGGTGTTGCAAGATATCTTGTGGACTAGATGCTCTGCAGATACACATTTGTGGTTACCTACAGATGTGGAAGGTTAGATTCAGTGGTCTAAATGTTTTGTCTGTGTCTGTGGTCCTAAAGGTTAACCATGTTAAAATGGTGAAATCCTTGCCATCTTGCTACCAGGTAGCTTATAGCCCTGATGTTAGTCACAGGGGCTAAGCTAGAGAAATGTATGTAGCACTCATACTGAAAGAAGTGTTAAATGCATTGCTAGTTACTCTCCAAAGGGCTTTAAAACATTGGTGAGGACACAATGTTGTGGAAAACAAAAGAGGAGTATGTTGGGGCAAAGGATAGAGTCCAGGTTGAACTGTGGAATAAAATTAATTTTGGACTTCTTGGTATCTGGAAGAGTTAGCATCCCTTCATGCTCTAGAAAAAATGTGTTTAGATAATTTTGAGAGTTGTTTTGTTGTTTAAAATGGAAAAATAGATTCCTGGTCACTTTCATGCAATAGCCAGGTACTACCCCACTGTTTCTTCTGACTGCATGATGACCTTTGCCTTGGGCACAGGTAATCTGGCCGTTCTTTCAGGATCACTGCACTAGTTTCTGTCTCTCTGCTGCTCTAATGGAGGTGGTGGTTCTTTGCTGCTAGAGCAGAGATACTGATTCCAGCGTATGCATGATCTGCTGGCTAGGCTGTGAAGTACAGCTGAGAATATAAAGTTTATACTAAAAGGAGCTAAGAAATTTTGTGAAGACCTGGAACTTCCCCCCTGCAACTTGTCTGTAGTACAAATGTTTGTCTGTATTCTCTCTATAGTCTTCTTACTGACCTGTGAACTGGACATACTCATGGTGTTGCTCTATCACATACACCCTACCTCCCACCCCTTCCCCAGCATATCCAGTGCAGAAAGAAAACTATCATCAGTTTCTGCTTGCTTGGAGTTTTTTCCTGCTTGGCTCAACCCTTCTCATGACTGTTTTGTCTCTCCCCTAAGCTTGCTCACAGAAAGGACTTAGAGACAGGCAGCTTTGTATCAGCAGGCACATTCCAGAGAACTTTAATTAGTTTGGGAATGTAGAACGTTGTAAAAAGCAGCTATTGAAGGTCCTACAAACAAAGCACTTGAAAGAAATTAATTTACTTTAGGAAAACTCTATTTCAGGTGTGCTCTGTGGAAATGCTGCTAGACAAAGACTCAGTGTTATCAGCAGTGTGCAAGGCAGGCACAGCAAAGTATGGGACAGGTGTAATGCAGCTTGTGTTCTGTTGTTGTGTTTGTGGACAGATCCTGATTGTGTATAGAGATGAATTGGGAGTAATTATACTCACACCAACTACAAAGACTAGTTAGAGATCAGAGTTTAGTTAAGAATAAACAAATGATATGTTGCCTCATGCTTTTCTTCCCAAGCCCTTAGTTTATGTGAGCTGTAAGAGAAGATAGATCTCTGTCTTGTTAACTATACTTGGACTCGTTTTCAGCATGTGTGTATGTAACACTTGTGTTCATAGGAACAGCTATTCATTCGTTATTGAGAGGTAAACTCAATTCCATCAGTTTAGTGTCCTTGTCTATGGCTTATAGGGTGGGAATGTCTGTGTCGCAGTGGGAAACTTCAAGAAAGAGAAGTTTTTCATATTGCTCAGTCATCCAGAGTTCCCATTTTGGTATGCAATACTCATAAGTAGTGTATAAATTTAAAATTTATTGAACCAAGTGAACATAACTTGATTTCCTGCAAACAGAGGTTTATGTTAGTTCTGTTCTTTAACATTAGGCTAAATTGTTCAGCTATGCTCCCATTTGATGCTTGTAAGCAAATTTTTGATATTCTGCTGTTTCTTGAAGAGTAGGGTCAGTATGACCTTTCAAATTCATGATGATATGAGGAGTTATGTAACCTTGAAGTTAAAAACTAAAGTAAATACAGCGTTTTAACAGATGCCTTTTTGATTGAAAGGCCATCCAAGTACTCGCAGATGGAGCTAGGGAGTCAGTTGCTGCAGTGATCTGTAAAGCAGAGAATGCTGCATTTTTTTTTTTTTGTTGTTCTCCTTAAACATGACTGCTCTTTGCCAAAGTTCACAAAACAACAAAAAAACCCCCACAACAATTTTCTTGGCATTGCTTCTTTTGCACTTTATTTGGACTGTGCTACTTTTGAACAGTAGAGCTTCAGCAAGGAGCTAGTGCCCTGGAGTCAACAATTCCTTTGAAGGGACACCTGAAAGATGTCGGAGTTTTTGGCCAGTTCTTTTTTCAGTGTAGTCCTGATCCTGAGGTAACTCCTGACTTTACTGTGACAAAAAGGCACTGAAACCCCCAAATCTTCAACTTTTCAGACCAAAATCTCTAAGCAGGACTTAATCCTTCAGTCCTTCTTGGGGACTTGGGGCTACTGGTTATTAGACAAGTAAGTTTTAGCCATAGCGTTCTGTGTTGGGAATGGTTGTATGAATTAACGTTTTCTGAATTAGTATTGCCTTACTCTGCAGGTTTTAAACTATTACTTGATGTACATGGAGTTATACATGGATCACAAGAAGATTGTGTCAATACTCTGAAGCAGGGCCACCTGTTAGCCATTGCCCCAGGAGGAGTTCGGGAAGCACTCTTTAGTGATGAGATGTATACCATTATATGGGGTGATCGGAAGGGCTTTGCTCAGGTGGCCATTGATGCAAAAGTGGTAAGTATGACACATCAGAAGAGGAGCAAAGAATGTTAACTTAGCAGTACTTTCTTCAAGGGAAGGCTGTTTTGATTATCATATATTTGGTGTTCCATTGCTGACTGCCATGGGTATGGTCTACTTGCTCTCGTAACTACATTTCAAGACTCTTTTTGTTGCTTTTGATAAGAAGATTTAGAGTCAGCTAAGAGCAGTGTGGCCTGGATATCCAGAGTTCAAAAGAATGAGAGATGAAATACAGGATGATTTCTCCTTAACCCCTGACCAGAGTGGTTGGGAAGACTCACGGGCACTATGTGCTGTATTGGCATTTTATGGTAGTAAGGGAATGTTCAGGGCATACAGCAGGAGATGCTGGTCACTGGTGTGAGCTGTCTCTTCAGTTCTAATGTATAGCATTGTGCTTAGTCAGCAGGCAGATCATTTTTCATAGGGAACCATCTGTGAAAGGCACAGCAACATGTGATATATTTTAATTGTAACTATTTAAATAATAATTTCAGACTTCTTCTCATTCTATATATGTACTTGAAAGATGTGTGCACATATCTATAGGCCTGCAGATTACCTAATTTGAAAGTAAGTCTCACACCAAGGGTTTTATTTTTAGGTACCATCAGAGAGTCTAGTTAAATTTCTGGATTATATATAAATAGACTAGTTTTAAGACCCAAGTGTGTGTTGCTTTTCTCACAAGGAAAACAATACTGTTTAAAGAGGATATTTTCTAGAAGTTTAGATTTTACGAATGTATTGTAATAGCATATGAGAAGCCATACTTGAGATTCAACTATGGTTGTGCTAGTTACATTTATTTTATTGAATGTATGTTCAGTTCCCTTTATGCACTCAAAAAGGTCTTGCGGCTTCATCCCCCCTAAAAACACAACCTGAGAGATGTAGGAAGTGTTGGAGGCAGGCTGAAAGTGGAAAAAATATCTTTATTTAGATCAAAGACGAATTTTAAGTCACCTTGAATCATAAGCAGAACTCCTTATGGAACGAGAAACGTGTCTAAAACAGGGACCTTCAGCTTGTTGAAGTTGTCTCATTTCAGCAGTTTGCCAGAAATTTTGTCATATCAACCAACCTGGTGCATACAAAATCTCTGTTAAAAGTAAGATGTTCCAAATGAGATTGTTCAAGAATAAAGAAGTTTGTAACTATTCAGTTTAGGCAACTGCACTTCTTTTTATTTTTTATGATTGCATTGGATTATTTACAGACTTTTTTTTTTTTCCAAAAAAACTCCAACTTGATACCTGTGTGAAAAATGTCAGGTACTAGCTCATCGCTATGCTTGTTTTTAAAAAGTTTGAAAGAATCTGAATGTGTGAAAGTCTCATCAGTTCTGTATTTCTCATGATGCTATGTACAGTGAGTACATACTATAAAATGATACCTAAAAACTTCATGTAGTAGTTGAGCCCCTCCCAGTTCTTGTAAATCTTGACAGCTGTTTGCAATTTCAAAAACAGCAATAAAATCTTGAAATATTCAACACCATTCCAAATATTCATCAGCAGAAATAAATCATGGGCATGTATTAAATATGACACATTGCATGTGAAGCAATACAACCATCAGAGCAGAGGTAAATCAGGCAAGTTTAGTGTCCCAGTCCTGTGAATTCTTCCCTTTGACCATAACTGCAAATTAAGTAAGAGGTTTAGCCACTGAAGCCACAACTGTCCAAACCCTACTAGACGGGGGAGCAACACCTAAATGCTCCATAGGTTCTGAACTTCTGGATCTTTTTGAGAAAATGGACTTGTTGAAACAGTGACTCACTGAAATCTTGTGGTATTCTCCAGCTTGAAACCTCATGGCAGAAGGTCACAGAAGAACTTAATGTGTGTTTTGCTCTCTCTATGTCCTTGTCTGAGAAACACTTCTGAAATTTATTTACTTGTTGGGTTTAAGTGAGGTAGAAGTTTTTTAGACAACATTATCTTCATTAAATTCTTAATTATTTTTTTTCCCTCCTAGCCCATCATTCCTATGTTTACACAAAATGTTCGTGAAGGCTTTAGGACATTAGGAGGAATAAGTAAGATATTTTCTATTTTTTTTTGTAGTTTATTTTTCCATATGTGTTTAGCCTCTCTCTGTAGAAACAATCCCCATATATAAACTGGAGATTTGACACAGCCTTGTTTCTGGAGGTTGCATCTCTGGTAGAGTTAAGAGATGTTATTAGGATTTAATATTGGCATCAGATGTGATATTGGCTCATCTGAGTAACTTTCCACATAACAGTGTTCCTTCACAGAAGCAGTAGAAGAAAGGAAAAAGGAGCCAGAAAAAGGCAGAAAGATTATAGCACTTCTTTTCTCTGCTTATATCTGCCAGGCCAAACCTAGATTTTCTGCTCTCTGTTTAGAAGCAAAGCAAACAGTTTTGCAACTGACACATAGTTCCTTTAAACGTTCTCCTAAAGCTCTGTGCTTACACATCTACCTGTACTTAAGCTTTGAATGATTTGAATTATATTTAATCTGTAGTTGCATTACTATTCAGCACTAGACCTGTGGTTCCTAACAAAACTTTGCATTTGCCTGCTCTCTTTGCTCATCTCTATGGGACTTCCAGCCAGTACATGAATAGATGGGTCTACATTTGAAGGGTCTACTTTTTTTTTTTTTAATATTCTCCAACTTACTCTCTAGCTGAAGGGGCCTGAACAGCCTCCTCCACACCGCATGTCCTGCCTCAAGTAATGCATCATCACTTTCATCAGAGGACTGCAGGGCAACACAATTCTGTTTCTCTGCCCTTCTAATCTAATTAAAAGCTGTATATTGTATGGAGAATGCCAAGGCTTTAGATGCAAACACTTAGAGTAGTTCACACATTTGTCAGCATGTACAAAAATAAATAGCAATTAATTGTTGCTGTGTTCAGGAGAATCATCCCAAACAGAAGACATTGAAGCCAAAATCATTCATGCTACTTGCATTCTGCAGCAGAATTGCTAGAGGAATTGAATTCTCTTGATCACTGGAGGTGCTATTTCAGTTTCAGTAGTTTGGGGACATTCTTTGGTTTTATAGGCTGTGTACAGAGAATTCCACATCTTGGTCAGTAAGGATTTTTTTCATATGCCAACATTTCAGTTAATGGAATTTATTTTCTAAGACTGAGAGAATACTAGCACACATTCTTCAAAGGATCTGTTCTGGGTGCATTTGGGATGAATGCTTAGTAGGTGTCATGTGGGGAAGGTTTGTTCTCTTAGAAATACCTGCTTGTTTCTCTCTTTTTATATTGTTTAACTGCAACCAGTGTGTGATCTGAAAGCAATTCAGCGTGTTACCATGATCATCCTTTAGGCAGATAAGGCTGTTTCTGATTCTCTAGACCTCAGTGGGACTGAACAGAGCAGTCTTACAGTACTAGTTTCTTATGCTAACCTTTAAAATGACCTGAACTTGTAACCTCTGTTGTGTAGCATTTCCTTCCTCTCCAGAGAGGCAGCTATTGGATTGTTCTCATCTTCCTTCTCATTGCAGCTACTCTTTGGAGTAAAGATTTCACACCAAGTTAGAGTGGAAACAAGTCTGTTAGCATTAATGCAGCTTCCAGGGAATGAAAGTCAAGTGTAGAATAGCACTTGAGATGACCACGTTGTTTGAGAATCTGGGTTGGGGGCTAGGTTACTTGATAAGCCAGTTTCAGTGTTAAGACATACTGGGAGAAAAACTTTACAGAATAATCTCAGTCTCTCTCTCTTTCTCTCTTTCTCTTGCTCTCTCCCTCACTCTGTTCCTCCCTTCCTTCTTTACAGAATAATCTCAGTCTCTCTCTTTTTCTCTCTTTCTCTTGCTCTCTCGCTCTCTCCCTCACTCTGTTCCTCCTTTCCTCTCTCTGTTTCTCCCTCTCTCCTCCCCTTGCCTCCTCTTCCCCTGCCTCCCTTTATCTTTCTCCTGCTTTTGCCTAATTTTTTTCACATTAGAAATACTTAGGTCACTATATGAACGTATTAGGTTGCCAGTAGTTCCCATCTACGGTGGGTTTCCAGTGAAGATGCGTACCTTTATTGGAGAACCCATTCCATATGAACCAAATGTAACTGCTGATGAACTAGCTGAGAAGGTAAGATAGATATGTATGTATATGTATTTAAAATATTGAATGTTCTGATAGAAAACAATGCAATAGTATTGTCAAGTGATTTCTGCCTAGGAGCAAGTTAGAGAAATTGGTGGAATCATGGTAAATTTTGAACTTGCTTAATTCTGAATGCCCTTCTTAAATGCTATCTGTTCATTATTACAACTTGCAGATGTTCTAGGTCTTTTAAAGATTATTACACCCTATATTTGCTTCAAGAAACAATTTGCTTTAGAGACTGAACAAGTTCAGTCAGATAAGGCAGCTCTGGGTTGATCAGGAGATGAGCCCTTCATGCAAAGGAAGTGTTCTGCTTCTGGGTCTTTTCAGAAAGAAACTAATGAAGCCTTTCAAACATAGCAAGGCTGTATTCACAAACTGTTGAAATTCCATACAAAAAGCCAGTTAAGGTAAATAACTGCTTTTTCTAGTGTGTTTCTATTTCCTCCAACTTCTCACCCAACAACTTAACTGTTGAATGTTCCCCTGATTCAGATTTGGGTGGTTTATAGAAAGGATTGTCAGGTCCTCGTGTTCATTCGGTTTATTAATCGTAGAATCATACAATCATAGAATTTTAGGGGTTGGAATAGACCTTACAGATCATCTAGTCCCTACCCCTGCCATGGGCAGGTCACCTCCTGACTAGAGCAGGATGCTCAAGGCCTCATCCAGCCTGGTCTTGAACACTACCAGGGTTGGGGCACCCACCACTTCCCTGGGCAGCCTGTTCCAGTGTCTCATCCCCCTCGCAGTAAAAACCTTTTTTCTAATGTCTAACTTAAACTTCCCCTCTGTCAGCTTGAACCCATTACCCCTTGTCCTATCATTGCACTTCCTAACAAAGAGTCCCTCTCCAGCTCCCTTGTAGGCCCCTTCAGATAGTGGAAAGTTGCTAAGAGTTCTCCATGCAGTCTTCTCTTCTCCACGCTGAGCAGCCCCAACTCCCTCAGCCTGTCTTCACAGGGGAGATGCTCCAGTCCTCTTACCACCTTCGTGGCCTCCTCTGGAATTGCTCCAACAGTTCCATGTCCTTCTTATGTGGAGGACACCAGAACTGCACACAGTATTCCAGGTGGGGTCTCACGAAAGCAGAGTAGTGGGGGAGAATCACCTCTTTTGACCTGCTGGCCACACTCCTTTTGATGCAGCCCAGGATACGATTGGCTTTCTGGGCTGCTAGTGCATGCTGATGGCTCATTTTAAGTTTCTCATCCACTGTCACTCCCAAGTTTTTCTCCTCATTGCTGGTTTCAATTACTTCCCCACCCAACCTGTAGGTGTGCCTGGGATTGCCACGGCCCAGATGTAGGACCTTGCACTTCATTTTGTTAAACTTCATGAGGTTTTCATTGGCCCACCTCTCAAACTTTCACAGTGTAGAGACAAAAGCCAGTTAAGTGATGGAGCAGTCAGATGGAGTGGGCTGAAATAGCCATTTGAAAAGCTCTGCAGATGGTCACTTACAACATTGTGAAAACATCACTTGAGAGAAAGAGACTTTTCTTCTTGACCAGGCAGGTGTCAGTTTAGTTGTCTCTCCTCATTTGTTTGCAAAAGGACTCTTAAAATGTTTATCTGCTTTATCTTGGGCCCTGATTATGGAAAACTGATTGTTTCTTTTGAGCATTCAGTCTGAAAGTGCTTCAGACTTGTTGACTTTCAGGAGAGAATGTGTGTTTAAATGATTTTCTAACATGCATTGGCATCTTAAATGTGTGTCAACCCATACTGGTTTCTGATCTAAGTGCAAGTTTTGCTATAGATAAGGCCCCTAGAATGTGAATTCCCTAGAATCCTAGTTAGAGTAAATTTAAAGTTGTATCTCATGTTTTAGGCTATGGCACGGTATGGATTTTCCCATTATATATAGAAAAAATTAGGCTCAAATTTTTACCTAATGCAACTTTTAGATCTGTAGAGGCACTTGGGAGCAGATCTATAAAGTCCTTTTCCCAGCACTTAACATCTATGTGGTCACATACTTCATGTAAACAGTGGGAGCTTGTGCCAACAGTCATTTCCCTTTGCTGACCACTGGTTTACAAAGGTAAATATTTCTCTCTTCTGTCTCTGGCCTTAACAATTCACTAGTCTGTACTTCCTTAGGCTGAATAGGAAGGTTACAGTGTGTCCTCACCACAACTTTGTATATTGCCTTGGTTTTGGATGTTCCCTGTAGAGCTTTCTTTCTATTAAGAATGGCTGCTATGAACTCCTTGGCCTGTTTGCTTTCTGAGTGGATGTGAAGGCTGTGGTCACATGCAGCTAAGTGGCCCAAGCATGTGTTCTAGGGTCAGTTCCTCCTTTAGGGCACTTGAATACAGGGGTCATTGCTTTGTGCAAGTCAAATGTCCTGAGACACAATTGTGTTTTTATTGCTGCTTCTGTATAGGCACAAAGTTCATGCACACTGGAGGAGTATTACTGATGCAAACCTGGGCATAGGCAGGAGTTTGAGTTGCAGTACAGCCTGCAGGCTCTGACATGTTTTATAGATCTAGGTCTCTTCCTTAATTTACTCCATTGTCACTTTGCTTCCATGTGTCCCTAATAGAGCTTGCGAGCATAGCTACCAGAGATGAAAGATACTAGTTTGTTGGTCTGTTTCTTGGCAGTGTTGTCAGGATCACATCCTGTGGGCTTAAATATGTGGGAAGAAAATATTTTTAACTTGCAGTAGTTCTGTGGCATTTGAAAGGATGAAAAAGAGCCTAGAAATTGTGTTAATATATGAACAATATAAAAATGACTTAATCTGACCAAAACCTTTTCTCTTCCCTTACAGACAAAAGCCGCAGTCCAAGCTCTAATAGACAAACATCAGAAAATACCAGGAAATATATTTAGGGCTTTAATGGAACGATTTCAGAGACAAAAGAAAGAAGATTAAGGTCTTCTGAAATAAGTAATATTTAGTTATAATATTCTTAAGAGGTCACATTTGTAAATTATTCAATCTTCTCATAATAGGTTTTAAATACTGTCCTAATGATACTGCTGTGTAATTTAAGATAAAAGTCACTTGCTCTTGTCCTTTCCCCTGTCCAGTATCAAGCTCAGGAACCCAAACTTCAAATCATTGTAAATGGGACAAAGTTTAATTTTTGATAAATGCATTCCTACCTTGAAAGTGTCTTGGTCATT